GTTTTCAGGAATGGCTAAAGGGTGATTCCACCTGTTTTCACAACCATCTTTAAACTGGTCTAGTTTAAAAACTATAACACAGAGACTTCAAACGTGGTCTAGATTATTCCACACTGATTGCAGAATGTTTAAAACCAAGTGTGTGATTTGTGAAACATATTTGATATGTGAAGCTTAAGGAAATATGCTGATTTCAGCACTTTTTATGCATTTTATGAACAAGCCTGGCCCGATGGAGAGGTGAGAGAATCAGAGTGACTGAATCAATCATTCAAAATGATCATAGAGTCTGTAGAGAAAAATTATTTTCACAATTCTACGCAGCCACGCAATATCACCATCAATTTCCCCAACTTTAAGTCCTGTTTCGGTAACCGGATATTTCAAAATAAAAGTCTGAATATTTTGAAATATGTTTTTCTTTTTCTGTTAACGCACTTTGCGATGTTCGTGTCTATGAAAACGTCTATTTGAATAAAGTTTACTGACTTACTTATTGCTTCACTCACACCAAACGCGTTTTGAGTGTCGGGGAGTCAGTTTTACGTGCGAATGATGGACCATGGACGCGCAGATCATTGTTTTGTTTTTTCACTTCAGTACAAAGCTGCCGCAAATTTCTGCCTTTAATTATGGAAATTTGAGGGTTTTTTTCCTCGCAAATTTGTAACTTTTCAAAATAAGAGAACTTCCTGTTTTTTTCCTCGAAAATTTGTGAAATTACTCTCAGAAGTTCTGATTTTTTTCGAGCAAAATTGCGACTTTTCAACATAAGAGAATTTCCTGTTTTTTCTCGAAATTTTCTGAAATTAATCTCAGAAATTATGACTTCTTTTCTCAGAGATTTGCTCCTCCTTTTTTTTTTTTCCCATCGGCAAAGTGGCCCTAATACGCCGTCGTAAAACACTGACTGGAGAAAAACCAACAAAAAAGGGGATTTCTCATACATTTATAAACTTGTTTATAGCTATAAAACAGAAATGTAATAGGTTGCTGAATGAGGAAAACAGATAAAAAGAATAAAATTTGATTTTTAGATGTAAAACTATTATAATTAGAATTAATTTGCATTTAGAATTTATGATTTTTCTCTGATTTTTTACGTTTTGCTTCCTTCTTGTTGGTTCTGTCTGTGGCTGAAATGGTCTTCTTTGACCCAGTAAGTGGTTCTGAAGCAGCCTATTTTTCACTCGAGGGTCTCAGAGAGGGCAGATCTTTACAGGTAGAGGTTTTTTTTTTCTTCCCAAACTTTATTTAGGTCAGCCAGCATTGACAACGCTCTGCGGGTGACGTAAACAGCTCCGACACGGCGAGGGACGCATAAATCGCGCGACACAACGAATCGATAACGAAATTCGTTGCCAACGCTTTTAATAATGTTTTTTATTATTTTGATGTAAAAAGGTGCAGATATTATAAGATTTTTTCTTTTTTCTGCCGCCTTTCTTTTTATTTTTCATTTGCATTTTTTTGTARACTGAATTTGCTTTGTTTTTTTAATGAAATGAATAAATTAAACTAAACTAATAATTGATTTTTATGGGTTTTATGGAGGCGTTGTTGCGGCACTAGTTAAATCCTGAAACCCTCACCAGGTCYTCTCCTGCTGCTTCTCTCTGTGTGTTTGCTCCAAGGCCTGAGTCCAGCTGTCAGGAGGCTGGAAACCCTCCAGAGACCCTGCAGGGAAATAAACCAGGATGTCTCCGTCTTCTGTCACAGCATCTTGAAGAAAAAAAAGGACATAAATACAAGTTATTGTAAAGGAAACATAAGAAATAAAGGCCTAACTGAGGGCGGGATCAGAATATTTGCAGGTTTTGTGTGTTTAAATGATGAAGACCTTGGTAAACAGGTGGTCCCGGCAGCTGCCAGTCCTTCAGTTTGTGGTCCATGAAGACGAGCACCACGTCGTCCCACGGTACACTGGAGGAGAGCAGTGTCTGGTCTCTGGACAGTCTGGATCCGGGGGTTCTGATGTGCACAGACTTTAGTCGGACTTGTTCCAGAAGGTTCTCCAGCTGGGACAGGAGGACCGGCTGACTGAGGCGGGACGTGGGGATCTTGGTGGCGTAATGAAGAACAGAGGAGCGCAGATCTGAGCCTGAACAGAGACAATAACTTCACTAAAGAAGCTCCACTTAATAAACAAACATCTGGTTTAAATCTGGAACAATTAATCAGTATTTAACCTGCAGCAGTAGGCTCCTCCCACTCCGGCAGCTGCAGGCTGAGGACGGCTGCTCGCAGCCAGGCCAGATGCTCCGAGCGGTTCCAGCCCTGATGAGGAACTAAATCTCTGGTTTCAGGCAGGCTGAACTCGGCGGGGGGCCACGAGAGCCCACACAGGTCCTGGGAGGACACCTGATCGGCCACAAAACCCAGGACTGCGTTGTAGAGCTGGACGACGGGTCCCGGGTCCTGGGGCCGAAGGCCTGCAGCCGCCCGGTCCTGCCGGTGGCTGTAGACCCTGAAACTGAACTCACGGCTCAAACTGGTCTCGATGAGCTGAACCAGGGTCTGACAGGAGAGCAGGGGGGCCGGCGGGGCGCGGGCCAGCAGCCAGCGCACGGCTCCACTCAGCTGGAGAAAAAAGGGTCAAGGTCAGGTCAAGGTCAGGTCAAGGTC